CGGCTCCGGCTTCAGCCCCGCCGGCGCAATCGGACCGCCGTCGAATCTGACGCCGGTGACCTGCTGCACCATCTGCCGGAAGTTGGCGGGGTCCGCCGTGATGAAGGTGGTCTGGGAGCGCTTCGAGGCTCGGGACTTGCGCTTGGAGACCTTCCCGGTTGGCGGCGGCGGCGCCCGGCGCTTCGGCAGCGACTCCTGGTCGGAGCCCGAGAGCGAGGAAACGGTGGGCGTGGCGGCGGCGGCGTTGAGAAAGTAAGCAGCGTTAGTCTCATCAGCGTTTATGGACTTGTGAAGAGCCTTTGTTAGGGCGTCGGTGTCGCGAGAGAAATAGTCGGCGAGCCATGAATCGGTGAGTGTGGGACGCGGCAACCATGAGTCAATGGCGGCTATGTTCTGTGACGATGGCATGGCGATGGATGGGAGAGAGAGAGAGTGTAGCAGTGAAATGGGAAGGGATGCGAGAGTGATAAATAGGGCGGTGAAGGGTATTTTGGAGAGAGAATGAGAAAGCGCGTTGTTCGGGGGACGACAAGACACGCGTCACTTTGTTCCTTTCCTACGCTCCTTATTAGAATTTGTGATCATAAAAGGAAGAGAATAGAATGATCTTGATTATTTTAATGAATGAGTACAAGAGGGGTATTTATACATTATAATAATAGGAGATAAGAGATAAAACTGATCAATTATATCAACAGTAACAAACTGTAACAGAAAGATAACTAACTACCAGTTTGACAAATTCCCTTTACACCCCCCTTCAAACTCATGGTGGAAGCTGATGAAACCTTGAGTTTGGATCTAAATGTTGTAAATTGAGGATTCGAAATAGCTTTAGTGAGAATATCAGCAACCTGAAATTCAGCAGGTAGATGAATAACAACAAGCTCCCTTGACAGGACTTTATCACGAACAAAATGCAAATCCAACTCAAAATGCTTTGTGCGAGAATGCATGACAGGATTCGCAGTAAGGTGGACAGCACCTAAATTATCACAATAAATTCTTGGCAATGCAACTGGAACACGCAACTCTTTGAGCAAATTCTGCAGCCATAAAATGTCAGCAGTGACAGCAGCTAGTCCCCTGTACTCAGCCTCAGTACTACTTCGGGAAACAACAACTTGTTTCTTAGAAGACCATGATACAAGATTTGGTCCAAGGTACACACAGTAACCTGTGGTAGACTTTCTATCATCAGGATCTGAACCCCAATCTGAATCACAAAAACCCATGATATGTAGCTGTTGTGAAGGTTTTATGTGCAAGCCATATGTAATTGATCCTTGGAGATATCTTAAAATCCGCTTTACTGCCCTCCAATGATGCTCTTGTGGTTTATGCATAAATTGACAAACCTTATTAACAGAGAATGAAATTTCAGGTCTTGTCACAGTGATGTATTGAAGAGCTCCTACAATGCTCCTATAGTGAGTGGGATCCTGAACTGAAAAGGACCCATCAGCAGTAAGCTTTAAACCAGAAACCATGGGAGTTGGCTGAGGTTTAGAGTCTAACAAATTTGTTTTATGAAGTAGGTCTCTTATGTATTTTGATTGAGACAATAGAATACCACCATCAGAATGATGTTGGACCTCAATGCCAAGAAAATAATGAAGAGGACCTAGATCCTTCAAAGAAAATTTGTTGTTAAGATGAGCAATAAGAGAGATGATTTCAGAAGAGGAAGAGCTGGTGATGATAATATCATCAACATACACTAGTACATAGGTTTTAGAGGTAGGTGTAAATCTCATGAAAAGTGCAGTATCACTCTTGGCTGAATTAAATCCCAAGGACCTTAAAGTCATACTGAGCTTATGAAACCAAGACCTAGGGGCCTGTTTCAAGCCATAAAGAGCTTTAAGTAATTTGCATACCTTGTGTTTGTCAAATGAAACAAAACCTGGTGGTTGAGTCATATATATAGTTTCTTGAAGATTTCCATGTAAAAAGGCACTATTGATGTCCACTTGATGAATAGGCCATTGTTGAGAAACTGCAAGTGTTAGAACAGTTCTAATTGTTGCTGGCTTAATCACTGGGCTTCCTCATGGCTCATGCTCATGCTAAGCTTCCACCACTTTAACCCAACCATGGTTTACTTCATCACCCCTCTTTAATTATTATCAAATAAATTTATTCATCTAAACTACGCACCTCTCTGCTCTCTCTATTAGAGATAGGCAAATATACCCGTACTCGCGAGTAATATCTGAACCCATCCTGATTTTAACAGGAAATACTTGGTTTGACCGGGTATGAATATGGGTACCGGTAAAATCCAATATATTAAATCAGATATGAACACGGTACGGGTATGTACTTACCCGCCCCGTACCCGTACCGTTACCCGTCCCCGTTCCTATTTTTAGTACTCACTTTCAATTTAATTATATTAAAGAATTTTAATGTTTTTTTATGTGTAATTATTTATTATAATATGAGATAGAGAAATAATCTAATTATAATTATAATATAATAAAAAATAATTTAAAAATAATATATTTTTTTATAAAAAATAAAATAAAAAATAAAAAAATTGACAGGTACAGGTACGAGTATGAGTATACCCGATACTCGACGGGGACAGAGATAAGGATGAAAATCACATATTCGACTGATAGGGATACATGGACGAGGATGAATTTGACTTGCAAAGACAAGAACGGGTATCATGAAACCCGTACCCGCCCCGCCAAGTCGCCATCCCTACTCTCTATCTTCATATTCTAACTATCTTTTTCTCTTTTGGACGCTCATTTTTCATAATTTACTTTTTCCTTTTTTCTTTATTCACCACAATTAATCTTATATTAAGGATTTACAACACCTCACTTCCTACCTATGGATAACTATTATCACACCAAAATACTTTATTAAAAATAAATTCATATTATTCTTTGATTATAAAAAATATAGACTCAACATGTATTAATTAAATATTCATTTTATTTTAAATAAATAAATAAATATAAATAAAGTGAAACGATACTAAATGAGATATAATATAGAAGTCATAAAGACAATATACTCCAACAATTGTGTACATTAAAATGAAATATTCTCTTTCTTATTAATATAAATAAAAGTGAATAATAAAAAACTTATTTATCTCGCATAAATTAATGTATTTATTGTTTATTAACTATACAAGTCATATTCATATTTATAGGAAGAAAAAATATTTATCAAAGTAGGTGTAGTTTTATTACGAGTTTAATATGATTTGAGTTTCTAAAATATTTTTTTTAGTCTTCAACCATAATTTCAAAATATATTATTTTAATCTTATAAATTTAAATATTCCATTTTTAATTAGTTTTTAAAATATAAAAATTATTTTAGTCACTTTTAATTTATCATTATCAATTATAATATTAGTGATTAAAATAAAATTTATTAAATTATAGATTAAAACATAAATTTTAAATTTTAAATTTGGGATGTGAAAAAACAATATATACCTTAAATATGAAAGATTAAAATCATAATTAAGCCTTTTATTAAACATAAATACTAATTAAACCATCAATCAAATGATTTTTTAAAATACATATAAATTAAGATATTACTAATAAAATTTAATTAATTTAACTAGATTTATTACATTAGTAACTCATTTATTATATAAGTTAGTATTTTAGTTTATATAATACACATGTTAAATATTTATTATTTACAACTTAAAATTTATAATAAATTATATATACCAATAAATATTATGTTTGAATATATAAATTATATTTAAAATTTACATAAATTAATATTTTTAAACATAAAAATTATATTTTATATTTATCATAAATAATTTCTATTATAATTCAAGATTATTTTTATTTATTAATAATTTATTTTTAAAATATTAAAATTTAATATATAAATGATTGTAATAAATAACAATTACATTAAACAAAATGTTAAAAAAAAACCGATACTCTAATACTAAATGTCGTTTCATATCTAACATATAGGAATATATCATAAATAAAAAATATACACACAATAGTAAGATTTAATCTCAATAAGAAATTACATTATTGAATTAATTTATTTTACGGTAAATAAATAAATAAATAAATATATATATATATTTATAATTAAAAGAAAATTGGTCTTTCTTGTTTCAGATCTAATTAATTATTTATTTATTTAACATATAGGAATATATTATATATATATAATATATATATATATATATATAATATAGTAAGATATTATCTCAATATGAAATTACATGAAATTACATTATTGAATTAATTTATTTTATGGTAAAAAATTATACGGTATGATTAATTATTTGGTTTGATTGAAAGGGCTAAAAACGATTTATTTTTTTATAATTAAAAGAAAATTGGTCTTTCTTGTTTCAGATCTAATTAATTAATTTACAAAAACTTAATAAAAAAAATTAATTTAATTATTAGTAAAAAAATTGTCATAAAAATTCTCTTATATTACTCGTTCTTATATATAAACGTTTTTTAACTTTAATGCTTGTCAATTTTTACCAAGTTGTTTTTTTTAATTATTTTTCAATAAAATATTCTTAATTATTTTATAATTATTTAAAAATAATAATAAATATTAAAAATTAAAGATATAAATCATTTCTTTCTCGTGACAGATTGGAGGATATGTCACACTCATATACTCTCTCTTTTCAAACATTAACTAATTAAATTAAGATTTAAATATATTTTAATTTTCTATAAATACGAATTTATTTTATTTTAGTCTTTTGTAATTATTTTTTTAAGTTTTGGACTATTGATATTTAACCCTTACCATTAATTCTAGTTAATTTAGTGTTCATATATATGACTAAATAAATAAATAGTGTTAAGATAATTAATGAAATAAAAATTAAATTAAGATAATTATATTATTTTTAGGTATATAATTTAATTAAGTAATGTATTTTTTATTTATATAATAAAATAATTACATGTAGTTTACATTAATAATTTTATTTGAATTTTAATATATTACGAGCATCTACTTTTATTAATTTTAATATTACTTTTACTTTTTAATTTTACTAATTTACTTTTAACATGATACTTTTTTAAAATATAATTTACATCAATTATTATAAAATTTACTTTTTCATATGTTTTTTTTTTTTGTATTTAGAGACAAATCATTATTTGTGATATATTAAAAAAATAAATTATATTACAATCAATCAAAATTGATGAATTAAAATATATAAATAACATTAAAAGTATATTATAGGTGTCTAAATAAATTATAATACTTAAATAATATAATATTTCAAGTAAATTGATCAATTGAAAATTAAGAACAATATTGAAAGATAAATATCATTCTTAATATATTAAAAAATAAAAATTATTAAATGTAATTATCTTATCTTATTATAGACCAAAAAATATGTAATTACCTTATTTATATAAAATAATAAATACAATACTTAATTAAATTGACATAAACTAATTTAATTATCTTAATTTAAAGTATTATTTATTATTACTTTAATTATCTTAATATTTCTCATTTATTAACTACGTTAACAATAAACTAACTAGAACTAATGGTATAAAAATAACAATGATAAAATATCGAGGATTAAAATTTGACAACATTTTTAAGGACTAAAGCGAGACAAATTCAAATTTACTATGACTTAAAACATATTTAAGATATTAATTAATTAGGTAAAATAATTAAATAAAAAGAGAGGTAAATAATTTAAAAAATTTAAAGAGTATTCTAGAAAAAATAATTCAAATTAGTTGAATAAAGAGAGAGGTAATAATTGTTTTAATCTCATCAATAATATATTAATTACTTTAATTTTTATTAGCTATTACTGTGAAGACGCAAAATAATTTTTTTTATAAAACACAAAGTTAGACTTCCAAAAAGTCCAACACATTCATTTATCCTACTTATTATTTATTAAACGTGTGAAAAAAAATCCATTATCAGGAACATTTTTGTAAAAACATTAATATAAGAGACTTTCTATATTAGTTCTTATAATGAAAAAAAATAATTTGATTCTTATTCGAAGGACTATAGAGAGTAATATATATATATATATATATATATATATATATATATATATGATATTTAAAAAAATATTTAACACAAGTATATACACATAATTGATGATATATTAATAGTTTGATATTACATTATTACAATAAATAAACATTGATTATTAATTATTAATAATTTAAACATCATTTATTATTTTACGTTTAAAACAATTAAAAGTACGTAATGCACTCTTAAATACTTTGGCTTTGCTTTTTTTGCATTCATTATAAACATCCAATTGAATTTAATGTATTATTTATTTATTATACTCCTTTTCATTTTTTTTACGCTTGAGCAAAAAAAATTTGTTGTCTAATTTTTATTATCGTTTCAAACATTGAATATTTTTATTATATTTTTAAACATTTATTGTAAATTGAGAAAATAAAAAAAAATATATTCCTTATAATCTTGAATATAAGGGGAAAAAGTATACATATTAATTTTAAATATAAATAAAACTTAACAAATTTTACTCTGGTTAATAACATCATCCTAAGATATTTATTCATTTTACTGAGATTGTATTTCTAATATTTTTATTTATTTTTATATCAAATTTTAATCAAGAATCATTTAGAAAATTAAGTTACTTTTTAAAGATAAATTATACTTTAATCATTTATCTTATTATTTTAATCTGGCAGGTCATTACACTTACCACAGTTCAACTACAATGTAACAAAAAAAAAAAACAACGTACATCTAGCCTAAAATTATCATGTAACAAGTAAATATTCTC